GTATTATTGAATTGTTTTGTCCTTATGATTAAAATGAAACTTTTGAAGGTGTTTTGGTTAGTTTTCCATTAACTAAAAATGATGCAAAACCCCAATCAATCATAACCTCATTGAGGCCGAAACCTTTTCGGCTTTAACATGCTGCAATCTGCGTTGTGTCAAATTGCATGTGGTCAAAATATTCTTATAGATAGGATGTTGAGATTTTATTCATGAATTCTGAATTTGAAACTATTTTATTCTCTATATTATTGTAATAATTTTGGAATCTCTTTCTCCCCTTAGTGATGATAATAAAGTTTAAAAAAAAAAATGCTCAAATTTCGTTATCAGGTTTAATTTAATTTGGATTTATATATTCATTGAGTGTTAAGCTAATTTTCTGAATCTCTAAGCACCAGAATATAAGAGTAGAAGCAAAGTAAATTGTCCTAGGTTAGGATGGTTAGGTCTAATTAATTAAAATAATACAAAGGTAATATTCAAAGACACGGAATGGAGGACAGGACAGGGGCAGGTCATTAAATTAACTGTGAAATTCCAACTTGCTTCTTCATTCCCTTTTTGCTTGGTTGATTATTCCAGGGTAGGACCAGTAGTACAAGGTAATTGCTCAACCACATAGAGGTTATATAGTAAATTAAATGAACCAAATTGATCATGATAGAAGTGCTAAGAAAATTATCTCAAAATAAAACTCTTTGTAGACTCTTTGTTATTTTACAGTTTAACGTTTATTTCTATGTCAATATTATAAAGTATTTTGTCAAAAACATAAAATGACGGAGTATTTATGATAAGTCTCACTTTAACATATCGTCATGTCCTAATAAATTTGTTAGGTGTGAAATACTAATATATGATCATTTCTGACATCAGATGGATCTTGCTCTTCTTATGATGGATTCGGTATATTTACCCAAGCCTAACCTTTTAGTCCTCCAATGGCTCTAGGCCGTCTGGGCTTGTGCACGTCGATCTTGATCAGCTTTCTCAACATCTGGAATATATGGCTGGCTGACATATTTAAGCTGACATACAAATTTCAAATTAAGATAGGGTAATTAAATATTATAATATTCCAAGCTTAATTAATCAACATAATGTTAATTAATTAGTAAAAATAATCTGTGACCGCATGAAAAGAAAAAGTATGGGAGAATTCGTTGATTTATCCCCATAGTAAAGATATTAAGAACACGTGTTTTATCACGGTTGTATTTGAGATTTCAGGAGTCCTGTGCGAAATTCATAAAAGAGTCATCCCTCCTTAAGATAGTTTTTCGGAAAACAAGAAAAAGAAAAAAAGTAGGACAATGTATTGATGCTAGAAAACAATAACTTAAATCAAAACAAACTTTATATCTCGCTGATTATAAATTTACATATATCATTAAATAGTAAGTAAAAAGAGCTATAAGCATAACCTTTAAAAAATATTCGAAAGCAGTTCAATTTTAAACAAACAAAAAAGAAAAAAACCTTTAAAACTCGAACTTTGAATTTTATGGTGTAGTTACTGTCACTCCAAATTTTTACATTTAGAAAAAAAAAAACTATAAACATTATTACATATAAATATTAGATATAAATTTTTTTAGGGCCCTCTAAATTCGGTGCACTTTTAGCTTCCCAAAGCCGCCTCTGTGGTTCATGAACACTTCTTACTTAGCACAGCATCCACTGTTAGCTGTAACTTTCACCAGTAAATTGATTCATTTTCGATTACGTATAATCGGCTCCTGTGCTTCTCTCTCTCTCTCTTTCTCTCTCTCTCTCTCTCTCTCTCTCTCTCTCTCTCTCTCTATATATATATATATACACATCCATCCTCGACTCATCATGCGAACTACATCTTCTGCAGACATAGGAAACGAATCATAAATGTCGTCGTCGATCAGCATGAAGATTTTAATTAGCTTGAAACTTGTAGTTGGCTTGTTATTGTCTACTGTTGGCATCTTCCGTTGCCAAGCGTCGCCTCCTCGTTACACTTTTGTGGTAATTAGCCCATTTCCTTTCGATGCAGTTCAGTTCTGAATTCTGATGCATATGTATGAATTGCATGCATCATGCATGTTGTTAGAGAGATCATTTACTTAAATCATACTTTATAAACCACATAATATGACAGTACATGGCTAGATTCCTTCTTCAAAGCACTAAAAAAATAATTCCATAATCAACTGTCACATCATGTAGTCTACAAAATATGATTTAAAAACATGATCTACTAGCATTTTTCGGCTATAATATAAAAAGATCGTACCCAGTGCACAAGGCTCCCGCTTTATGCAGGGTCTGGGAGAGGTGAATGTCGGCTAGCCTTACCCCCATTTTATGGAGAGGCTGCTCCCAAGTCTCGAAATGCATATATACACATCCATGGTGTGTGTATATATACACTTTATAACTGATGATCGTGTATGCTGATTTCAAAAATATTGATGAACTCATATCTTCTGTTTGTTTGCAATAATCAATTTTAGGTGGAAGAAACTCCATATAAACGACTGTGTAGCACAAAGAACATCTTGACTGTAAACGGTCAGTTTCCAGGCCCAACGTTGTATGCTCATGCCGGAGATATTGTTGTAGTGGATGTCTATAACAAGGGCAATCGTAACATTACCATCCACTGGTAATTAATCAACTTTATCGCATGTAATCTCTTCAGAATTTTACCTAAATTCATGATATCCATCTATATTTCAGGCATGGAGTTAAGCAACCGAGGAATCCATGGTCGGACGGTCCTGATTACATCACGCAATGTCCTATTCAACCAGGAGCCAGGTTTACCCAAACCATTATATTTTCCTCAGAGGAAGGGACTCTATGGTGGCATGCTCACAGCGAATGGGATCGAGCCACCGTCCACGGTGCTATAGTCATATACCCCAAGAAGGGAGCCACTTACCCTTTTCCCAAACCTCACGCAGAATTTCCAATCATCTTGGGTATGCAAATGAATTCAAACTTCATTCCCATAAACCGCTTATATAAAGTCAAAAGGTTTTTTCGGGCATTTTCTACTTGAATTTCCATTAAAATTTCGATGTGTTCTAATGGAAGGATTTCTCGTAAAAGAGCTTATGAACATTAGTGAATTCTATATAAACATTTCCAAATTACGATCCTAATTTTTCTGCGAACCATTGATTCGAAAATTGTAGGAGAGTGGTGGAAAGAAGATATCGGACAACTTTACAATGAAACGATTCAAAGCGGAGGGGACCCTAATAATTCAAGTGCTTTCCTCATCAATGGTCAACCCGGCGATCTCTATCCTTGCTCAAAACCAGACACATTCAAGCTCATAGTTGATTACGGCAAAACCTACCTACTCAGACTAATCAACTCCGCCGTGCAAGAGATGATGTTTTTCGCCATTGCCAATCACAGCGTCACAGTTGTAGGCTCAGATGCTAGCTACACCAAGCCATTTTCAACAGATTATGTGACCATATCTCCCGGCCAAACCATTGACCTCTTGTTAAATGCCGACCAAAGCCCCAACAACTACTACATTGCTGCAAAAGCCTACGTTGGCGGGGCTGGGATTGCCTACGACAACACAACCACCACTGCCATACTACGATACCATGGAAATTCTAATTCATCCCCTACTTCTTTGCCTAATATTCCTTCCCATAACAACACCAACGCATCAGTTCACTTTACCAGTAAACTCAAAAGCTTGGCTGATAAAAAACACCCCATTGACGTGCCACACAAGATAACAACTCCTTTGTTCTTTACACTATCCATCAACTCACTACCCTGCCCGAATAATTCATGTGCTGGGCCTAATGGAACACGTTTAGCTACCAGTATCAACAACATTAGCTTTGTCAGCCCCACCATTGACATATTGCAAGCTTACTATTACCATGTCAATGGGGCATTTGGAAGTCGCTTTCCAAATTCCCCGCCGTTGCTGTTTAATTTTACAGCTCAGGACTTGCCTTTGTACCTACAGACGCCGAAGCAAGGGACGGAGGTGAAGATACTGGAGTACAACTCAACGGTGGAGATTGTGTTTCAGGGGACAAATTTGGTGGCAGGAGATGACCATCCGATGCATCTCCATGGATTCAGTTTCTACGTTGTGGGATGGGGGCTTGGGAATTTTGACAAGGACAAGGACCCTTTGACGTATAATCTTGTCGATCCTCCTCTTCAGAACACCATCGCTGTCCCTGTAAATGGTTGGACTACCATTAGATTCAAGGCAGACAATCCTGGTACGTAATTAATGAAGATGCTCATCATCTCTAATTAAATATTTTATATAAGGGGCCGTTTTATAATAACAATATCAGTTTTCAGTTTCCAATTTTAGTTAAGCCCCCTAATTGGTTACATTAATGAATGATAATTAGCGCATGATAAATTGTTCTTGTTCTTGTCGTTGTATGTAGGCGTTTGGTTTATGCACTGTCATCTGGATCGACATATGTCATGGGGCATGGACATGACGTTCATAGTGAAAAATGGAAAGGGCCTACAAGCGCAGATTTTACCTCCGCCACAAGGAATGCCTCCATGCTAACAATTTTTATAAAGCTTTCGACCTGGTTCTATGTTCATGGCAATAATTGGGACAGCATGTAGTTCGTCCCTTCTAATACCATTTTATACTAGCAACTATTTGGACTGGCCGTGGCCAGGATATATATGTCATAAAAATTCACCTGGCTTTGTATTGTCACCAATTTGGTGGCCGTCACGACTCAAGAACACGTGGAAAAGTTTCCATCAAAGAAATATGATGATCAATGCACGTTGATTAGTACTAAAATTATTGGCCTTATTTTAAAGATTGGTTCAACTGCAATGGATTATTTAAAACAACTCGTAGGGATTTTCTAGTTCTATACTCTGAAGTTCTAACCGTTAGATCATTAGTCAAAGATATACTATTAGTCAAGGCTTCCCTTCCCCTACAGTGGATTCTCGCTCAATAATTGTCGACGTGAACTAACCGGCTTAGGATAATGTGTGCCGCCACACAACCTCCTCAATTCTATTGCCGCTTCTTCCATCGCAGGCCTTTCGGCACTACTCAACTTGATGCAACTCTTTGCAAGCTCCGCAACTGCTCTGAGTTGCTCTCTGTTTCCCTCGTTTACAAGTTGTGCCACAACGATCCGAAAGATGTCATTTTGTTCTACGGAAGAAACGAAATGGGATGTTATGATTCTTTGATTTTCTGGTCTGTTAAAAGGCCAACGGCATCTCCCCAGTTAGAAGCCCCAGCAATACGATTCCAAAGCTATAAACATTGCTCTTATCTGTCAACTGGCCTGTACAGATATATTCAGGGTCTAGGTAACCAAGTGTTTGCTGCACCAATGTGTTCATCTGGATTCATTACTAGGGACCTGGACCAACCTCGAAGGACCAAAACCAGAGACATTGGCCACAAAACAATCAGTTAAAAGTATGTTGGAAGAGTTGACATTTCCATGAAGCATAATCGGTTTCAACGAGTCAACTGAAGAATGCATATAAGCAAGAGCAGCTGCAGATTCTGAGGCTACCTTTAAAAGGAAATGCATGCCAAGGCAATGCACTCTTCCCATCAGAGTGATGAATGTAGTGGGACAAGATCCCATTGCAAGCGCAAGAGGGACGATCTCATTTACGTACATGCCTAGAATGAGCTTTACCGGAAAGACTTTTATGTGTTTGATGTAGCATCTACCAGTTTTCTTATGGTAATAATTATATGCCTGGTTTGTTTTTGCAATGCCATCATAACTGCAGCGTCTGAGTTCTGTGAATTTGTTGGCCAGTATACGCCCGCAGTTCTGTCGGAAGTGTTACAGTTTGGCAAGCACGTGCCTATCCTGATATTTGGGGATATCAGGGTTGGGGCGTGTCACCAAGTTTACCCAAACCATTATATTTTCCTTAGAGGAGGAGACTCTATGGTGGCATGCTCACAGCGAGTGGGATCGTGCCACCATCCACGATGCTATAGTCATATACCCCAAGAAGGGAGCCACTTACCCTTTTCCCAAGCCACACGCAAAATTTCCAATCATATTGGGTATGCAAATCAATTCAAACTTCAATTTCCACAAACTGCTTATAGAATAACTTAAAGCACTTTCAAATAACTAAAAACGCTTTTGACAGCATTGGCAGCTAAAGTTAAAAGACTCTGTTTGTATCTTACTTGACCAATCCCGAAACTTTTACACCGGTCAACATTATACCGTTAAGGACCCAGAAGAGTTTCCCTCCAACTAGGAGGCTAATCACAGTGTGACACGTGTCGACATCAGAAGCCAATCATAGTGAGACACGTGTCAACATCAGAAGACAATCACAACACGACACATGTCAATGTCAGAATGAAACTAGAAACTTTCTTCTATAAATAGAGATCATTCTCTCACAATATTTCCTAATGTCATTTGTACTAAATCATTCACTAGTACTCACTAAAGGAGAGCTTGAACCTATGTACTTGTGTAAACCCTTCACAATTAATGAGAACTCCTCTACTCCGTGGACGTAGCCAATCTGGATGAACCATGTACATCTTGTGTTTGCTTCCCTATCTCTATCCATTTACATACTTATCTACACTAGTGATCGGAGCAATCTAGCGAAGGTCACAAACTTAACATTTTCTGTTGTACCAAAGTCCCCACTGATTTTGTGCATCAACATTTGGCGCCGTCTGTGGGAACTACACTTATTCCCACTCTCTTTAGCTTTGCCAAGCTGGTTTCCACCATTCGTACACTTTCTTTTAACCAAGCATCCCTTTCCAACATGAGGAGCGAAGGAAGCCACATCACACAGAATGACACCCATCTTGCACCTAGTGCGAAGCAACGAAAGAATGAAGGAAAGAGGGTTGCTCTTCAAGCTAAAGTCGATGAGCTAGAAGCTCAGAACAATAAGATAGCAATGAAGAATAAGATCCTCTAGGAGCAGTATGAGAAGCTCTTTGAGACGCTCCAAGAAACTAGGTGTACTCAAACACGCTAGCTCGTTGCCCCTGTGGACATCAATCATCATCTGGGTGCCCCCCAACACGGAGGGTCACCTTCCTTCGACATGGGTATCCTTGATGAGGAGCGAGTTAATCATCAAAACATTAATCAACATGAGACTTCTTTCAACCCAGATGCTTCGACCCGAAGTAGAAGAAGTGGAGGAAGACACCTTCTTGCAGAAGGGTTGGAAGGATCGAAAACCGTTTATCGTGACTGTCGAGACTTCCTAAAGCAACGTTAAGAGAATCCCCTCCATATATGCTCGAAGATTAATGACCTAAGGGTTTCTGAAAGACTCAGTCCCCTCTCACGACCCAGGCCAGCTGCCAATCTAGGGAAAGAACGACAGGTCCCAGAGGAAAATGAAGGTACGGGGAACTCTGAGGTATTCCGACAGACTCGCCCTAGAAGTCAGTACGACAAGTCCAAGAAAAAACCACACGCCCATGCTCAAACTTTCTCACTTCCAAAAGGCGATGAAGACTTACGAAAGAAAATTCCAGTGGTACATAACTCCACTCATACCCCATTGTCCTACAACTCATTGAGGAAGTAAACAAGTTGAAGGCCAAACGTTAGGCCGAGATACCTGACTGGAACCAACCCAGGCCTGCCCCTATCACAAGAAGGATCATCGACACCCTCATTCAAGCGAAGACAAAACAAAAGCTTGGTTTACAACTCTATACTGGAAGTGAGGACCCAATTGAACACCTTAACCTCTTTGAGTCTACCATGGCATATCGGATGCACACCGACGAAGAGCGATGTCTTCTCTTCCCCTCCACCCTCTCGAGCGGAGCTCTAAACTGGTATTGTCGTCTTCCACCTGAGACAGTAGACTCATTTGAGGAATTGAGGAAACTGTTTGTCTCTCAACATATCTTCCAGACCGATCACTTGCATTCTGCAGATGACTTATACATTATTCGCCAGAAGCCGAACGAGTCACTACGAGAGTATGCCGTTTGCTTCAGCCATGAGTATTCTCGTTGTGCTGAGGCAGATGACAAGACTGCCCTTAAGGCTTTTACGGCAGGCCTACGTGATTGTTTCTTCAAGTACATGATCAATGCCAACACTTGGAAGACTTACTCTGAGATGATGGCACATGCTTACAACCACGCATCCGTCGAAGTAAGGACATATCAAGGGAACCCCTATATGGTTAACCCCTATCAACAAATGGGAAGTGGAAGTCAAGTTTTACCAAGTGAGGAGATATTGGCCATTTAGACACTCATTGCATCATCTCCTGCTTTATTTAGTTACTCGCTAAGTCATCAACGTATCTGTCTCTTGGTAAGAGGACGGATTTTTACTCTCAGCAAGCCCATTACAACAAGATGAATAAAACTTCATATCAAGACAACCAAGGGTGAACGTACCTCGACTATTATGACTATGGGGCCAAGCCTCACTCTTTCAAAGTAGAGGATTAGGTACTGAAGGAAATGCTATTATAAGAAGGTATACACATTACAAATGTTTTGACTCTTAATCGCTTGAGATCTTTGTTCATACAAGCCATTCGGTAAATATTTAAAGAAGAAGGAATTCAGACAACTTCTTCTGAGTCTTTTGCGTTCCTAGCACTAGAACACTTGGTTTACGCTGACCTAACCTTATACTCCAACTTAGAGCTTCAACATGCGTACTTTGACACAAAGTATGTGATACTATGTGTTACAACCAACATGGTTCTCATATCAAAAGCATGGATCCCTTCATGCATAGCAAAACATTCATAAACATCACTCATATCAATCAACATAAACATTATACATTCCAACACATTCATACATAAACATCATACATTCCAACACATTCATACATAAACATCATACATTCCAACACATCTATACATAAGCCAACTGTGTTTCGAAAAGGTTCAACATACTTTGTGTCTTCGACACTTGCTATAATGTGCCTAGACACCTTGCCCTTATTCTCACCAACCAGGTGATGAAATGTACAACCCGTACTCTCCTTTATGCCACCAACCAGGTGATGAAATGTACAACCCATACTTTAATATCATTTGGCAACTTGCCACTCATGCCACCAACCAGGTGAAAAAGGAACTCATCTTCATGCCACCAACCAGGTGATGAAATCTACAACCTGTACTTTCCTTCATGCCACCAACCAGGTGATGAAATGTACAACCCGTACTCTAATACCATTTGGAAACTTGCCACTCATGCCACTAACCAGGTGAAGAAGGAATTCATCTTTGTGCCACCAACCAGGTGATGAAATGTACAACCCGTACTCTCCTTCATGCCACCAACCAAGTGATGAAATGTACAACCCGTACTGTAATATCATTTGGCAACTTGCCACTCATGCCACCAACCAGGTGAAGAAGGAACTCATCTTCATACCATAAACCAAATGATGAAATGTACAACCCGTACTCTCATTCATGCCACCAACCAGGTGATGAAATGTACAACCAGTACTCTAATATCATTTGGCAACTTGCCACCATGCCACTAACCAGGTGAAGAAGGAACTTATCTTCATGCCACCAACCAGGTGATGAAATGTACAACTCGTACTCTTCTTCATGCCACCAACCAGGTGATGAAATGTATAACTCGTACTCTAATATCATTTGGAAACTTGCCATTCATGCCACCAATCAAGTGAAGAAGGAACTCATCCACGTGCCATCAACCAAGTGATGAAATGTGTTGAAGGAACTCACCTTTGTACCACCAACCAAGTGATGAAAGCAACTCACCATTCATTCCACCTACCAGAAGACGAGTGGTACAACTTGTACATGTGAACTCCTAGCATTCACAAATAATAAAAAACCTTTAAGCTTGACAACTCAACTAGGGGAGCACTTGTGCCTAACAAGAGTTATAGTCACCAACAAATTTTTATTGCAAGATAACAACAACTTCAGTGCATGGAATACGAAGATCAAACTATTCAGCCCTTTTGCATCTGCTTCAGACATTTCCCTTCTGTAACAATGCAAACACTACAACTCGTAGAAAGCTTTACACTCTTAATCAAGATAGTGTGAAGCAAAACCAATTTATGGTGCCAACAAGAGCTTCATCAAAGGAGTTCAACCACAATTCTCAAAAGCTTCACACACTTTTGATCAAGACAGTGTGAAGCAAAACCAATTTATAGTGCCAACAAGAGCTTCATCAATGGAGGACAACCACAATTCTCAAAAGCTTCACACACTCTTGATCAAGACAGTGTGAAGCAAAACCAATTTATGGTGCCAACAAAAGCTTCATCAAAGGAGTTCAACCACAATTCTCAAAAGCTTCACACACTCTTGAT